TTATCCAATTTTGTGGTCCAGTATGAAAATGGTATGAACACAAATCTGCCATTCAACTCCGTATATTATCTAGGTTAATCCTGTTTCTGTGACGAAGGTAATGACAAGTCGAATATGGGTTGTGGGGGATGAATTAATTTCAAGTACTCGATTATCCAGATAGAAATTAAGAATAGAAAGCGTGAAAGTAAAGTAAAAAAAGGCAAACGTGCCAACTCGATTTGATCAAGCCAAACAAACTATAGATACTCAATTAGTAGGGTAAACAATACACACATACGCTCACATAATAAACAATCAAGTTTAATAAGCAAGTAATTGACATAATCAAAATGTGACTCGAAAAGAACAAATGAATTGGTCTGTTAGGAAGCTAGAGTAACCTATTTGGGTTTGACATAGTAATAGACATTACACAATAGACTTTCGGATATATTTCCTTTCATTTAGTAAGTGAGCGTTGAATATTCTAGTGTAACTTAACACTGAATCGATATCTGATCTTAACAGTTAGTATGTTGTTAAATAACGAACAGCTATTATTTGTCCATTATTTATTTGTTCAAGTAATTAACTGATTCTGTATTCTTCTAAATTACATTCGTAGTATAATATCTAATTAAATTTCAATCTTAAAAATTCACCGTATCATTTCTCCGTTGTTGTTTTGTTTTTGCATTAAGGATGATCCTGATGGTTTACGCTACAGAATTGTACGTCGTAAAGCATTCGAAGATATACTTGATGGTGAATTCGATGATACAACATTTGAAGGATTATTTTATATTGGTAAGAGTTTTGTTTAAATATTGTAATATTAGTTATAATTTAGTGAACGCAAACATTTAAAGTTCAAGTACTTAACCAAGAACTAGATCTAGATAACATCAATGCATGTTGATAAAATATGGGTTAGGAACCAGTAAAAGAAGCAATATTTCATATAAAATAATCCATTATATATTTCATAATTAAAGGAATACATTTGTACATTTGCTACCCGACTAACTACATACAAGTTATCTTGGGAGTCGTCTAATTGGGTTGTAATGACAGGGAAGAAGTCGTATGATCTCACTTTCTAGCTCAATTATCAGTTAGTTCACTTATATTGCCAATAGCACAGGTAACTTATTTACCAATCGATATATCAAACAATAAAGAAAAACCAGGACGTTAATGCATATTAATCCTCGACTACCTAACCAAGTGACTAATCAAAAAACGACAATAGTGGATAGATCATTTCACTATTGTATTCAAGTCAATAATAACTCAAAACTCACACAATAATGTACTTGAAATGTCTACCTACACGGTAATATAATCAAAGAATTACAATTTATGCATAACTTAGATATAATTGATATAAAATCAGAGTAATAAGGGTATAATCAATTAGAAATAAATCTAAAATGATAAGATGTATAAATATGGAAGCTTAGAAATAGAAGAATATAAGAATACAACAGTCCAAGCGACTACTAATTATACAAAAATGTCAATGATAATTCTTTGTACAATTATAATCAAAGGTGGATAGTGGCTAGCAGTGGGATCCAGGACGCGCATTTCGTCCCATTTGGATGTACTTGCATCCCAGATTTGATGTTCACCCTGGGACTCGAACCCATTACCATTCGCATTATCCACTTAGCTACTGATTCCTGATAACCACTTGCTTGTACAATCGGGTGAAGTTTAAATTCACTTGGTATTGTTTACTTGAATCTTTTCATTGATATTTAGAACTGCAGATTAATTCTTATCAAATTTCTTTTATAAACACACAAATTTTCTTGCATCTACAGATGACGGCAATTCATTTGGTGATACATTATATTATGGAAATGAATGGTTGTTATTCACATTTGATGCACTTCTATTCTGTTTAGTGGATTTATTAAGTCAAAATTTAATATTATCAGCATTTTTTGTCATTCTAATAGGAAGTGTAAGTTTTTTTTTTACTTTTTATCTAATGGAAAAGTTTATTGGAATTATCAACTCTACGAATGTTTTTTCTATAATTTATATTGCTGATAGGTTTTCGATAGCTATTCGAAACTACAAAGCACTGGACAACTGTTTCGTTCTATCAAAGGACTCCTCAAAAATGCTCATCTACCATCCTATCAGGGATTACACTCACAGCTTTCAGGTGTCTCAACGTGAGCTAATCCTTTAGATCACTGAACTGGCACCCAATGGTGTACATGTTTAGCTACAAACGATTCACTTTATCGTACAGCTATATCCCAAACTCATGGATATACAGCAGAGGCCCTACACTAACAAATGAGTTTCTCTCTTAGAAATGTGTTTCCTTGTTAGATAATAATATCAAAATTATAACAAGGCAACCAGAGATGATTAGTTGACGATGATCTTATCAGACCTTTATGTCAACAGCATATGACTTATTAGTTCAGGTCACCTTTGTAAGTTTATCTGTGACACCAGAAAGGTGTGACGGAAAATGAGGCTTGGTCTTTTTATTCCAATCTTTCCTAGCCAGATCTTTCGTTCTAAAAACACAGTTTCATCAGAGAATTTACTCTTGCTACCTCGCCATTAGTACAATCACCTCGAACTTTAAATTCACTAATTTATTTCATCGCTGTCCAATTGACCTAAATGTTATGGTAATATCTCAGATTGCGTAATCCGAGCAAATTAGTTTAATTAATTTATGTTAAGTGAACCTGATCGGTGTGAAGGTACAATCTGACGTCGAGTAAATAACTAAGTCTTAGCAAATGTTTAAAATTGTTCGTAACGACCTTTATAAACTGAAAGAATGTCTACATTATGTACGTGAAAAATTCCATGAAGAATCTAATAGCCGATTCATCTGTCTTCTTCACAAGTATTTTGACTACTGTTACTAATATTAATATCTTTTCCAGTATATTTTAGAACTACAAGGTTGTCGGTAACCCTGTACATGTTCCTTTATTACTGTAACCTAAACAATCCTGGTAACAAACCTAATATATTTCTGCTTCATGATTTTCTTCGCATTTTATATGTCAAACAGATTGCATGAGTTTAGAAACCGATTATGAGGTTATTATCGCAAATGTTTGGCGTATTCTGAACTTAATTAGTAAAGACTGGTGATATAGACATCACACCTGTTGTTAGCTGTTTAGATTCAGTTGTTTGGTGGATAACAGGTCAGCGTTTGAAGCGAATAGTACTTCGTTTAAGTCTCAATCTAAACATCAGCACTAGAATTCAAGTATATTCAACTAACGAGTCCCAAACAGGACGAAAGGGCATCTCACTTGGATTCGACTGCGAACGACAATCCATCTATTCTGAAAAATAATAGTAAATTAATATTTCATTGAATAAAGATAATTATTGTTCGTTTCTGTTTATTTCAGATATTCACCTTATTACGTGACGATCTTGGACGTCGTAATACAGCTAGAAAAACACTTATTGATGAACGTTTTCTAATTTAGAATAAATGCTCTTCCAGTTTAAATAAAAGGTGTTGAAATGAAATGAAACTATAACAAATTGCTTTTGTTTTTTTTTCTATTTACAGGATAAAATAAACGGTTAGTATTGTAATTACACATTGATTAAGCAATTTACCATTTGAAATAGTATTCAACTTAACAGTTTCATTTCTATCGATGTAACGTGGCAACTTGGTAGAATGCCTATATCTTTTCCGATTCTACGTCATTTATATCTTAATGATATCTTTTAGTGGGGAAATTTGAACCATTGTGCTATGATTCGTAATGAATCGGCTGTTAAACAATCTTTCACAATGAATGAAATCCAGTACCTAAATACCTGTCTCCAATATAATCCGAATTCCCAAACCCACCAAACTCTCCAGGTAGCTGGGTTCATGGCAAAATGTATTGATTTTTAATGTACTTGTTAGACTACTTAACATACACGTTTAATTCTAAATTTTTCGAATCATAGTCCCTAGTTTATTATCCCTGAATTAAACTAATAGTTAGTGATTTACAAATGTTACTTGACTAATTATTATTAGCATCATCATGAAATTTAACATAGTACTAGGAAAAATCAAATTATCACCAGCAGGACCAATTGTGTTATGAAACATGATCCATAAAAGTAGAGGACATTCGTTAGGTTACTAGAATTAGATCATCGATGTAAACAAAAAATCCCTCGGGTACATTAAGATCATCGAGTGAAGAATTCTGAGACTAGATGTAAAGAAGATAAATCAGTTGACGAAGTATTACATTCATCAATTTTATTTGAGAAAGAAGTTACGTATACCTGACACCTACATGCCTCGACACGCGATGTCCTATAAGATTACGCTGGAAGCCAGGATCGCCCAAACCAAAACGTAGGATATCTATGAAGTAGCTGACTGTCAGACTGTGCTGTATAAGCAAGAAGCAAACCACCAAGGTCACGAATCACATTTTCTATGTCTAGTGTTCTTTTTAATTACCATTGATACTACTACTTATTTATTTATTTGAACACATAAATATTGGTACAATAGAGCGCCAATATATATGCGCCACACAAAACAATGGGAACTCGAAGAGAAGTAGAAAGAAGAAAAAAAAACTAAGGAACGCAAAAGAAAAAGAGAACAATGACGAAGAGATTGGAGTAAGGTAGTGTGGTAGTAACGACGGAACGAAAAGGTACAATCAGAAGAAATCTTTCAGGTAAAGGAGACACAACCACTTTTTATGAAGAAAGTAAAAGAAGGTTACAGCAGGATCGCCACTGGCTTCTATTCTGAGCCATATCTGATAACGTCTCTAGCCAGATACTACTACTAGAACTATGATATTCATCTTGATAATTTTTTTTCACCATGCTAATGTATTGGTGTGATAAATTAAAACTGATCCATATATGTGCTAAGTTCTATGTTGCTTAGGACTGACTAACTGAATACATGATATTACAACTTTGATTATAGTTATAGAGTTTAGTTTCTGATGTAGGGGGATGTAAAACACAATACAATTACTTAAGGAATATATATTTCTTTATTCAACATATACGCACACACACACACACACACAATGAAAGGAATGTGAATAGCATAATAAGCGTATTCGAGTAAAACACATCATTATCACGTTTGGTTAATTGTTAATCAGAATAATAATAATGATATCAAATATTATGCATTAAATTATAATCGATTTATATCAAATGATGATAAGAGAAACAAAACAAAATACAAATTGATAGTTTGATCATAAATATGACATAAGTAACAAACACTATTGACTGATTAAGTTGGAAATGAATCAGTTTTTTCTTTCTTTTCAATTACCCAATAATAGATGGACATTTTCGAATAAATGAAATAAGAAAAATGGTGGAAAGAGAAAGAAGGAGAGAGTTTACCAACACAGCTGATACGTAAAACTCAAATTTCAAAAGAAATGGTAACACATGTAGAGAGAGAGAGAGAGAAAGTGTATCATGAAAAAAAACTAAGGTATAGAAAGTATTAAAGTGAAACTAAACAGAGTGCTTGTTTTGTACCCAGTTTTAAGTACTCTTTAACCTTTATCAGAAATTTTCTTGCCAGAAATCTGAAAGTAGGAAAATTAAGAATACAAGTGCTGGTGTGAATTATATAGTGATAAATAACTATAAAAGACAAATGTTAGCAGGACAGATTCTTGACTACTGGATGGTTTAATCAAGTCAAAATTAGGGAGAAAACAGCTAATTGGTTATTTTCTAATTGATCAGCGTTGGTGGACGAATGGAAGATTCCTACGCGAATTCTGTACAAACTCTAATATCTTCATTACTGTATCTTTGTTTTACGGATTGTTAGAATATATAATATACATTTGTTTGTGCCCCTTCAATCTTTGTTTTAATATGAGCAGAGTCGAGCGAAGTATCGTGGCCAAGGAATATTAAAACAGTAGAAGACTATATACCACTCAGACGCACAATATATCTTTAGCATTAACAAGAAGACATATTGTCACTCAACTCCTATAATTTAAGTAGCGTTATGATTGTCGGAAAGTGTCATCCGGTTAAAATAAAACTTTACATAACCTAAAATCTTTGTGTAATGTCCATTCGAACATCAAATGAATCAACGAAAACAACTCAGTTTTACCTTGGTCAAATAAGATCCCATCATCAAATGGATAGTGTCTGATATTGTAGTGAGTAATCTTATAGTATAGATCCCATTAGGTCTTTGAATAGACACCACTGAAGGGTTGCATATTACGATAAAACAGCTGTCTAATGTTTCTTGTTTTTCAGTGAATGTCTAACTTAATTCAGTTCCTAACATGATCCATCAAACTCAACAATCTTTACAAACTCCTCACACTGATAAATAACACGAATCACAGAATACAATACGGAAGTCTGTAGAAAAATAATGGTGATGTAGATCTTCTTAAATTTTATTTTCTGAGAGGTTGCAACAGTAAAATCAATGATAAATATCGCTTTGAAATCATTTGTAATAACAATTTGAAATAAAATTTATCTCCTTTAAGACATTTACTTAGTTAAATTACTTATACTAGCCAAATGTGACTTATAAACCAAATTCAAGGTCATTTATTCAACTTTGAGTGGAGCAATGGTTCCGTGATTGAGACCTCCAATCACCAGAGTTACAGGTTCGAACCCCACTTCGTTTATTTAGACCTTACATTTGGAGAATACCTTGAAGCCAAGTACAATGATTTGTACCTGATGAGATAAAAAATGAATTACGCTACTTTAATGTGGAAATTAATAAAAACTATTCACAGTTGCAAGAATCCAAGCAGATAGATTTGGGATCAGACCTGGGACTCAATGTTTAGAAACCTAACACTCAATAGTTCTTAGACAATTTAAACAAACACATCGGTTACATACATTTATAACAACATCAGATAAAGACTGTTTACAAATCGAATAACTTTTGATCATAAACTGATTAGAATAAATAACATTTCTTACTTGAAGAATAGCTACAATTATTCCAAATAATCCAATGGCACTACCGAAAATCTCCACTACAAGGATTTTAACAAATAATGCAGAATTTGCAGCATCTGCTAAAGCTGCACCAGAACCAACCATACCGACACATATACCACAGATAAGATTACAAAAACCAACAGTTAATCCAGCCGCAAACATTGCATAACCTGCACGATGTGCTTGACGAATAACGGCTTCACTTGCACTTGTAGGATTGTAAGACTATAAATATATGGAAAGTTGAAAATATTTTCGGCCAATAAGAATGCAGGAGATATAAATAAATATTTTATGGTGCGAAACTCAAAAAGAAGGCTAGGATTAAGAATTAAAAGTAACTGTTAAGAACTCCGTGAAAGGAAATTCTGTAAGCATATAGATAAATTTTATGAAAAAGAAACGTTATAAAGATCTTGACTCATCGTGATAAAATGACTTGCGCTGATGATACTACCGTAGATTATTAGAATAATATTTGTAACCTGTTCAGTAGGAATGAATACCTAATGAAATTCATAAACAAACACATGAAAGAGATGAAAAGAAGGCCAAATGTATTTCCCGCTCCGAAGAAAGTACTGTTCTTAAAGTTACAATTCCTAAATGATGTTATCGAGAAAATTGTGACTCAAAGGTTAAGAAGGGCTGCACAGCAAATGTTTAATGAGGCCAGGCTGAATGCCGTTTCCTATAACCGCCCTATAATAAGAACCGTTAATAAAAACAGACTGCCTGAATTCGCCACATCCATGTGGATTTACCAATTCAACTGCTCCTGTGGAGCCAGTTATATAGGGCATTCCATTCGGCATGTCCATTATCTCATAGCAGAACACTATCCATCTTGGTTGAGCAAAGGACAGGTAAGAGTGATTAAGAGTTCCATTCTCACTTGGTGGGACACAGGTCGTCAAGTTGACTTGTATAAAGCTTTTAAGGTGATCTACCATATTCCATCAAATTTACCACATAGTTTACGAGTCCGTCTCTTGCACATTGCTGAAGCAGTCGGAATCCATGTTCACAAACCTAGTCTTTGCATCCAAAAAAAGTTTGTACAACCACTCTCGCTACTTTGTCCATCGGTATGGGAATGAGATTGTGGCTAAACTTTGATGAAATCCCTTCCTTCAAAAATATTTAAACTACTTATTAATTTCTTCAACTTTTGTATTTTACATATTCTCAATATTCGTCCCTTGATTCTTACATAACTGCTATAATACTGACCTTCCATCAAAATATTATGCTAGTTCTTTCGTTTTATATGTTGCGCAACGTAGCGACTGTTAAATCCTTTGATTATATTCCTCTTTCTTCTAATTACTCAATATTATTTTATAATAAATGTATTATATAATTATTGCGTAAAGTAACTACTCGGTGAGTGCTATTTCATTGTTGCAAATCATATATATATTAATGTAGAGCTATGATGAAAAACTAACTCAAAAGAAATTTCTTCGCTCGATTAGTTTCTTTTCATCAAACATGAAAATGGGAACTTTCCCTATATTTGATTTTCAGTATCAACTTCTAAGTTATCATCAGAAATGCATTAATCATGGTCCCTTTTCACTAGTCCCCCGATGTTTATTAAGTCTAGGCTTCTTAATAATTAAATAGTGGTAAGTTTAACTTACTTGTTGCTCGACTTACATTTACCATAGACATTTATTATTTTAAAGTCAATAACTGAAATGGATCATATGTCATTAAGTTACAAATGTTTACCATTTTAATGTATATAAAACAGAACTGTTCAATTACCTTGTAAATTCGATCGATCTTACAACGGATAAAATCAATTAACGGAGTAGAAATTTTGATGACAATACATATAATTATGACAGTTGCTATACTTGAGAAAAATGGCATTTTTCTGAAAACTACAGAAAATAAGTCCAATGATTGAATGCAACTTAATATGGTATATTAGACCACAAGTCATATCCTTTTGTATAATTTTTTGCTCAAGCATCGGCAAAATGTTTATGGCTGAATCAACTGACTAACATTTACGTGCCCAAATCTCTGAACTAATGATGCGTATCTTCGAAGCACTACTCATGTATTTTGTGACCACTAAGTGAGTAATGCCAAGATTATCGGTTGATGAAATACTCAATCTATATCAACTAAAGTGGTTGGGACATGAGTTATATATGCACGACCACCGCCTACGTCGATGGGCAAGATATAGTATTAGTTCACTAATTCATTGACTATTATATTGAGACGGGCGTGTGCATACTAACTGGTTGGGGTCCGGGGGATCAATGGTTAGGGAATTTGGTTGACATGGTTCGAAATCTTTCGCAATGGTGCAAATGCGCTTACTCCTAATCTTCCCTTAGAACCAGAGTTCAGAAATCTCCTTATGCCTCTTTTTCTATACTTAATCTTCTATACTGCTATCAATACTGTTACAATTCCTACTACTTCGGGATTTTTCTTGATAATTTTATCTCGCTATGTTAATTTGGTACAGAGAATTGAACCGATACATATATGTTAAGTTGTATGTATCGTATGACTGACCGAACGTAGTTTTATTAAATGTTTACGTACCGTACATTCAGAGTAAAAATAGGCGATACGACTATACGATATGTACCAAGAAATGGATGAAACCACTGAAGAACGATATAATTTAATAAAGTGAGTTCACACTATTTGGTACAAATACCATATCGTATCATTTAAAAACCATGCATTCTTTGTTTCTACTTTTCGTTATGATCAATTTTCATTACCATTATTTTTCTAAATAGGTCTTTTATTGTTCAACTGAATGTGATATAGTCTACATAGATATACTTATGTTATGTGCTAAACATTTAATATCCAACTAAATAACAGCAAATGAATGAATATATTTTTTAATACGATGGAAACAGAAGTAGTTATCTATTAACACAATGGCACATTCCATCGGTATGTGGAATGGGGTCAAAATATGAGAAACTATTAATACGTAGCATGAAAAATAAGTCATTCGCTTGACTATGTAAGGTAAGAATATGTCATTATATAGTGGAGGCTTAGTGGCCAAGGTAATCTATTTTCAACCAATAGGTATTGGATTCGGATTTCGCTCCACCTAATTTGGTATAGGAAACTGAGTAGTATATACTGTAAACTGTCACACAAAGTGTAGCTCAAAACCAAGTACACAAAGCTATCCTTGGTAAATGATTTACATAAGCATGGTCAACCACGTTTCACTTAATGTTTACACAAATTACCTTGGGAAAAACATCTCTAACCGCCAGTGACAAACATCAACATGTCAGTTAAACACTTTATCATACATTCCGAAATTCATCGGTTAATTATCTTTAACAGAATGTATTGTCACTATCTCTACTTTCGGTGTAAATATCAAACGAATGCAAGCATCTAGTGTGTGAGGAATTCACGTCTACAATATATGATGCGATTATATTTTGCTTTGCTTAAATAGATTTTCATAGAGAAGTAATGTAGGTTATTTTTTACGCAATAAGTGCGATTCCCGTTGTGGTAAATGTGTGTATTACATACATAATTTTACTTCAGAATACTTATACAAAAGTGATACATGGACATTTGTGCCAGATATGTTGATAAAACCGTTACTTTACTTTCTTTTGTAATCTTACGTTTTGTGAAGCACCAAACTAGTGAGTCATCAATAAGCGCATATTTCTTTAGAACTTGTAGCACACAACAAGGCTATTTCATCTTATTCAGATTTTAATAACTAGGTAAATTTGAATCAAAATGACAGCAGTATGAAATGAAAGCATAAAATATACTCAACCCACCCCAACTTGACTCAGCATAATAATAGCTGTAATAATCCCATAAATTGCAACAGCTTCACAGAAAATAATGCTAACCAAATTTTTTGTACGAATACGAGGTGCTTTGACAGCTGCTCCTAGAATACTAGAGCCTGTTATATAGATGCCCCTATAAGGAAATAAATATGTTAAGCACATAAATGCAGTCTATCTTGGAAAGTGAAGTATTTATAAACATGTATTTATGACACGCCCCTTCCACGGAGAATGAGCAAACGTTTATCTAAAACTATTATTCTTAACGTTCTGTTGATTGACTAGATCAACATAATATTTTACTATGTACATTTGCCATAACATTACGTAAATGAAATAAATGAAAGCAAGAAAATACTGAAAACATATGGCAGAGAAACGACAAAATAGTTATGGTATAATTTATTCGTTTGAAGAGATGAAAAGCATATTTGCACTACAAGAATCAAATAAGTCTGTTCAGCTAACCCTAAAATCTAAGAGCAGAATTAGATTTTCTAAGAATAAACACCTGAAGTCATAAGGTGGAAATTGCATACTGTTTGTTGAGCAAAACTAAAGGATTTCTATAAAACAACCAAATCGACACTCGGACGACGTTTAACAAGTAATCTTTATCGCGCGTTTTTGTACCAGTAACTTTGAGACCCACATACGTTCATATAAGAACATTTAAGGTTACAAGTGAATTAATGACAAGGTCAAAATGTGACTCAAAAATAGTAAGTCGGTTTGTCCAGAAGCTAGAATAACCCATGTAGGCTTGACATAGTACTAGGCACCACAGACATAAGTGAACTTCTAAGAACCTTTTCAGGACGTCAAGGGACTTCAGTAAGTTTTCGGTAGAAAATTAGAGTCTGGTCGCATTTTCCCTCTGCCTTGGATAACTTTGACATACTACCTAAAGTTCACTTAAAGCTTTACAGAGCTGGTTTCTTGAGAACAATTTAGCGTGGTTTCCTAGCGTACTGTCAAGTCATATCTAAAAAAAGTTGGTTGGACTACACTAGTTATTTGCAAGGAGTTCTAACTTCCACGATCTTCATATTTTTCGCTGAATTCGTAAAAAAAACTTGAAATGTGTACAGTAGTAACAAGGAAAACCTCCTTACCAAGCAGCTCCAACTACTGAAAGAGAGATAGCCAAACCAATACCCATTGCAGCCCATAGGTAGGGTGATGTTTCAGATAAAACCCTGGAGAACGATCAATAAAACGTAAAATTACATACCATCCTATATCGAATCTATGGCCTTCACCGCTCAAAATATAATAAAGACCTAACGAGACATCTAAAATACTATTAATGAAAGTTACCTATCAAAATAAAAACAGAGATTGCTGTGTAAGTTGGTATATAATACACATTCAGTTTTGTGCAGGCCATTTTTCAGTAAATGCAAATTCCCGCCAAACCGAACGAAAACAAAGCGGTGATTCCACTTATCAGAAATGAGGACAGATCAGTTGACCTGTGGTGATTTTGATGTAAATATTTCTGGGAAGGTTTCTATTTCCTTGCTAGATTATTGACTGTTAGAGCTTAGACATCCTTTAATATGGACCTAATTTGTAAATGATGTGCTTGCCATCATCTTACTTACTTACTTTCGCCTGTTACTCCTAATGGAGCATAGGCCGCCGACCAGCATTCTCCAACCCACTCTGTCCTTGGCCTTCTTTTCTAGTTCCATCCAATTCTTGTTCATTTCTCTCATGTCTATTTCCATTTCCCGGCGTAATGTATTCTTTGGTCTTCCTCTTCTCCTTTGGCCTTCAGGATTCCATGTGAGGGCTTGTCTTGTGACACGGTTGGGTGCTTTCCTCAACGTGTGTCCTATCCACTTCCAGCACTTCTTTCTGATTTCTGCCTCCGCAGGGATCCGGTTCTTTCTTTCCCACAGTTGGTTGTTGCTAATAGTGTCTGGCCAACGGAAACGAAGTATTTTGCGTAGACAACTGTTAATAAACACTTGTATTTTCTGGATGATGGCTTTCGTAGTTCTCCAAGTTTCCGCCCCATACAGTAGAACTGTCTTGACGTTTACATTGAAAATTCTGACTTTGGTGTTGGTCGACAATTGTTTTCAGTTCCAGATGTTCTTCATTTGTAAATATACTGCTCTCGCTTTTCTGATCCGCGCCTTCACATCTGTATCAGATCCACCATGTTCATCAACGATACTGCCCAGATATGTAAAGGTTTATACATCTTCCAACTCTCCTCCGTCAATTGTGATTGGGTTGGTGCATGCTGTGTTGTATCGGAGAACCTTGCTTTTCCCTTTGTGTATATTGAGATCTACTGCTGCTGAGGCTACTGCTACACTGGTCTTCTCCTGCATTTGTTGTTGCGTTTGCGATAGGAGAGCCAGATCTTCTGCGAAGTCTAGATCGTCTAACTGCATCCTAGATGTTCATTGTATCCCGTGCTTCCCTTCAGATGTTGATGTCTTCATGATCCAGTCGATCACCAGGAGAAAGAGGAAGGGTGAGAGTAAGCAACCTTGCCTAACACCGGTCTTTACTTCGAACGACTTTGTCAACTGCCCTGCATGAACGACTTTTCAGTTTAATCCATCATAAGAATTCCGTATGATATTGGCTATCTTCTGAGGCACGCCGTAGTATCGAAGAGGCTTCCATAATGTTGTTCTGTCTACGCTATCAAATGCTTTCTCGTAGTCAATGAAGTTGATATAGAGTGATGAATTCCATTCAACTGATTGTTCCACAATGATCCGTAGAGTTGCGATTTGGTGTGTACACGATCTATCCTTACGGAATCCTGCCTGTTGGTCACGAAGTTGGGCGTCTACGCAGTCCTTCATCCTGTTTAACAATACCATGTTGAAGACTTTTCCCGGTATTGAGAGAAGAGTGATGCCCCTGTAGTTATCACACTTGCTGAGATCGTCTTTCTTCGGTATTTTGACCAGGAGTCCTTCTTTCCAGTCTTTTGGTACTTGTTCCTCATCCTAAATCTTACTGAAGAGAATGTGGAGTATCCTTGCAGTTGCCGCTACGTCTGCTTTTAGTGCCTCTGCTGGAATGTTGTCCGGTCCTGCTGCTTTGCCACTCTTGATTTGTCTGATGGCCATGCTGATTTCTTCAAGTGTTGGTGGGCCAACATTGATTGGGTGCTGCTTCGATGTTGGGTGGGTTCAGTGGAGCCGGTCGATTCAAGAGTTCTTTGAAGTGTTCTACCCACCTGTTTCGTTGCTCTTCAATCCAGGTGATTACCTTGCCTTCCTTGCTTTTCACTGGTCGTTCTGGTTTGCGGCGATTTCCAGAGAGTTTCTTTGTCGTGTCATACAATTGTCTCATGTTTCCTTCTCTTGCAGCCTTTTCCGCCGTCGTTGCTAAATCTTCCACATATTTACGTTTGTCGGTTCTGATGCTCCTCTTCACTTAATTGTTTACTTCTGTGTATTCAGCTTGTGCCTTGGCTTTTTCTGCTCTTGTTCGACTGGTATTGACTGCTGCTCTCTTGTTCCTCCATTCTTGAATCTTATCCAGTGTATCAACAGTGATCCATTCCTTGTAATGGTGCTTCTTGTGACTCAGGACCTCATGACATGTTGAAGTGATTGCCTCTTTGACCGCCTTCCAGTTGCTCTCCATAGTAGTTCCTTCTCCATTGAGTAGATCATGAAAGGCCTGGAACTTATTGCTGAGGACTATCTTGAATTTGTTGAGTTTGTCAGTATCCTGAAGAAAGGCCGTATTGAACATTTGTGATGTTGTCCGCCCCATTGTCCAGTGCTTCTTGAGTTTCAATTTCATCTTGGCGACCAGCAAGTGATGATCTGAGGCTATATCAGCTCTTCTCTTGGTTCTCACATCCTCCATCGTCCTCCTGGACTTTTTGTTGATGCAGATATGGTCGATTTGGTTCTGCGTAGTGTGATCCGGTGAAGTCCATGTGGTTTTGCGAATGCGCTTATGTGGGAATATGGTGCAGCCTATGACCAGTTTATTGAAGGCACATAGATTTGCAAATCTCTCACCATTTTTGTTCCTTTCTCCCAGTCCGTGTCGTCTCATGACGTCTTCATATCCAGTGTTGTCCACTCCAACCTTGGCATTGAAATCTCCCATCAGAATGGTCAGGTCCTTTGTTGGGCACTTCTCGATGATTGACTGCAGCCTATTGTAGAATTGATCTTTAGCGTCTTCATTGTAGTCGTTGGTAGGCGCATAGCATTGGATGATGTCCATTGAAATCCCCTCTTTCTTTGTTTTGAACAGGGCTCTGATGATCCTTGGTCCATGAGATTCCCATCCTATAAGCGCATTTTGTGCTTCTTTGGACAGCATCAATGCAACTAATTGTGTATATGAAGAATTTTCTTCTTCATAGCCGGAGTGTAACAGAAGCTCCCCTGAGGCTAGTCGTTGTTGTCCAACTTGCGTCCAGTGTGTTTCACTGATCCCAAGCACCTCTAGGTTGTATCTTCTCATTTCTGTAACGATTTGGAAGGCTCTCCCGGTGTCCCACACTGTACGAACATTCCATGTACCTAAATAAATGGTCGCTCTGGTTGTCAGAAGGGGCATCGGCCTCGTAACTTCCGAAAGAATTCGGCCTTCATCATGAGGCGTCATAGTTCTTCTAAAAGAAGACCTTCTGACTCCCAGGGCAGAGTTTAAAAGGTTTGAGTAATTTTTTCTGGTTAGCGTTCTTTTAGCGAGTTAGTTTTCTACGGGATGGGGTCGCTAACTCCATGCCCAATCCTCCTCCTTTATCCGGACTTAGGACCGGCAGTAGCCCCCGGAGGGACTCCAGGCGGAGTTTGCCATCATCTACATTTTCCATAATTTCGTTTGGCTCGTACATCACTATTACCGACTATAAATTAATTTCTAGGTTGAGATAAATTTCTTCGTATACCTTGTGAGTGTGTTACGGCCAATCAATTCTTAAAATAAACCGTACTGTAAGTCTTTGAAATTGATCCTGATGTCTTTCTTCTTACTAGGTACACCCTCGGTCACGCATCCTCACTAGATCACAATTGCGTACATTATGCTACGCATCACTCACAACAACTAGTCAGCTCAGGCCAAACGCTTTTCGAAGTATTGAATACCTTCCAAATTTACCTTCGAACTCCTTCGCTCCCAACTTCTAATTTGACTAGATTTGGGAACTTTAAGTTGATGAAATGAGAGTAATAGACTGCTAGCCACCGTTCGTCCCTACTTATAAATACTTTGTTCGTCGGTATATCTATTTTACTTCGCCCAATGTAGTGAACTTTGGAATGTAGTATTATAAGAGTGACTTTATCTGACTTTTACTTGGAGTTACTAGTAGACAACTAAGCTTTAACACTGATGAAAGTTGTCCAAAACAGAATTTCTATTCCCATTATCAGTCTGTTCAGCATTAATTCTCTAGACATTCTCCAGAAATTGTGGGTCTGAATCCCGCAGAATGTCAACATTTGTGGTTCCACATGCGGGAATAAATACACTTTTGCAAATCATACGCAAACATAGTGTTTGGCTTTCAAAATAATTCAATCTCAGCGAAAATAATGGGGATTTCCGTGGCTTTTTCTTTAGAAATCACCGTTCCACTAGATTTGGGAAAATTGGGTTGTTTATTTTTACGTTTTCGATGGACATTACAGTGCCCCAAGTATTGCGTCAGATGAGAAATTTTTTGTTGATTATAAAGGCATGGAGAATCACTGCAAAGAAAACTGCTTGCCACCTCTTACTTGCCGGGAATCATTCATTCTACGAATCGGTCGTTAACCAATATGTTTTATCTCAACGAGCAATTTATTCGGAGAATTTTTCCTTGCAAAGTTTCTTTGTTTACCCATCAGGCAGCTATTTACTCGTCCCATATGCAAGTTGCTTCGATCACTTACTATTGCTTCTGTACGCTCTACCTTTGTTTAGTTAGTGTTACTTTCCAATAATACATCGCGAAATTCGTTCATTTCAGACATCGTTCAGATGCCTTGAAGATGGACGAAATCACTTTACGCAGAGTTTATAGCCTGATAAATTTGAGATAACACGTGTCATCTTCAGCCGAATGTAGCACAGAACAGCTATCGAAGCGTATTATTTACAAGAACTCCGCCCGTAGCTCCTCCTGGGTTACTTCCAGTAACAAGCCTGGGTGAAGGAATAGGGTTGTGCATAGGGCCGGTAACCACATCCCATAGAAAACAACCTTGCTGAAAAAACGCCGACCAGAACAAACAAATTAGACCACTTAACATCTGCCCTCCGAGTTGAAATAAGATTTATGACGCCTCGGGATGAAAGCCAAGATTGTTCAGAAGTCGCGAGACCAATGGAATTTCTAACAACAAGGTCAACAATCGACATAGGTACATGGAACTTTCGAACAATGTGGGAGAACGGAGATACCAGTCAAATAGATTTTGAAATGAGGAGATACAAGTTGGCAGTATTCGGAATCAGCGAAACCCATTGGATCCAGGCTGAATAGAAAAAACTAGATATAGGAAGAATGCTGCTGTACTCCGGTCACGAAGAGGAAAATGCTCCACACACTCAGGGAGTTGCTCTTACGCTG